TAAATTTCAAACACCTACGCCTCCATATTATCCCCAAATAATTCTTCTCCATCCTGTTCTTCCTCATCCACAGGGGCCCCAGAATGTTCACTGCCCAAAATATCTCCTTCGTCCTCGAAGGGTTCCTCTAATTCACGAAGTGGTGATGTCGCTAAATCCCCACGACTAGCCGCAGGTGAAGGAACAGGGCTCGAATCCTAAAAGCAGATAAGTTAAATTACATATGACTTCTTAATGAATACCTTTAAACACTTCGTTAACAGGTATAAAATAAAAACAATAGTACTCACGGCCATGTTATTAACGTCTTATAAAATTAAAATGCAAGAGGAGTCTCTTCTTTTTCGATAAAACCCCAATTCTTCTGTGTACACAGCCGGATAAAACCCAAATAGCCAGCAGTCGCTTTGAGTAACTACTAGCAGAGCGAACAGATCAGACGCAAATGCGCGGGAAAAGCAGTACGAAGGAACACGAGAATGACGCTCTCGAGTCGACGACGAATCCGAGTAAACCCGAACGGTACTACGCACTAGTTTTGAAAGTCGACCATTCTACTTATATTCTACTGATCATGAAGCATCTTTGAGACTTGCCACCAACCATTATCAGACTTCTCGTTTTCCATGATTTACGTCGCCTACTTTTTCCTATAGAGCGAAGTGGTATTTCCCTTCACACTTCCTCGCAAGGTCGGATTAACATTTGCAGTGCCTAGTAGTGGTCTTCGTATGATGTGATTTTTTTAAATGCACGTATAGTACAGTTATGTACAATGTACAATTCCCTCCACTGTTCAGTCTTAATGTTTTCTTAATGAGTGGAAAAAATATAAATTTCATTTTCTACTCAAAATAAGATTTCAACCAATATGTTAGACAAAGCATTTTAGATGAGAAATGTCTTTCAAGAAAATCATTGTTTTTTCTACTGGAACTAAGTATCTTATATTGGGACATAGTGGAGGTTTACAACACAACAACATACATGCATACATACATACG